TATACAAGTGTCAGATTCTCCACTGAAAGATGAATGTGTAAAGGTCAACACATTTAAAATAGATGGCAAATGTATGCAAAAATGGGCAAGTGGAGGGGAATATGTTACAATCCTAAGTGTTATGCAACACCTTTGAAGAAGTTCCACATTTGTGCATGTTAGAACAGCATTGAAGCTACTGTAATTACGATTGAAAGTGGGGGGAAAAAAAAAAAAGGAAAAAAACAAACCAGTCAAGGAAATGCAAAACTTTATTGTCTAGTTTTAAATTGTATTTCTTTGGAGACTCAGCATCTTTCCTAAGTTTGGTGTGCAATGTCAGTTGTGGAATGTGGAGACTGTTGAAGTAGAAGATGTGTTTTTCACAACTGAACATGTGTTACAGCAGCTGAATATGGGATTTTTAAAATGAGACACATTTCTATTGAAATCTACAAGAATCATAAAATTTTTCTTCATACTTTGGCTCTGTTTCCTCTATGAACATCTTGAAAAAGACAGCTTAGGATAGTCACCTGACTGACTTGAAATACGCATGATGGGTGAGTAATGTCATTAGTATTTTCTTCTTGCCTTTTCTTTTCAACAGTTCCATGAACAATTAATTTCTCCTGGTCAAAGTATTGCCATTTCTGTCATCAAAAAGCAACTTGTGTGCCATCTATCTTAGACTTTCTTCCAAAGAATGACAGGTAATTTCACTGGCATCATTTCAGTGACAGTTTCTGCTTTAATCACACAATTCCTATAGTGGTGATTCACCTCTTTCATAAAATCTGCATTCACTGAATAGTATTAAACAATATAAAACCAGCTATTGTATATATTCACAAGTATTGTGATTTCTGTACAAACTGGAGAAAGGAAAGCTAAATATGTGGACCTCAGCAAGATTTTTCAAATGCTAACATAAAGATAGGAGCAGAAAAGAGGGAAAAGGATAGAGAACTTTCCAAATGATCCTGGAAAAAAACTGCTTAGTTCATGATCAATTCCTCTATTTCTCCAATGTTGCATGGATTGAAGTGTTTCATTGGATTTCAGCCTGGATTGAAGCCATTCCTAATGACAAAACTTATGCATCTACTAAGTAGCTGTAGACTTGCACTATACTTATTCATCAGGATAAATATTGAACAAAGAAGAGAGATTAAAAATCTTACATGACCTAGATCGGATGAAATTGAATTAAACTGCTGTATCTCTCTTTTTGTCTTAATATGGTTATAACTGTCACACATATACTCAGATGTGTACACTCCTTTCCACTTCCATTTAATTCTTTACTCCTGAATGAGGAGCAATAGTAGTCAATTATAGCTCTGTATTTCTCTTTTGATCTTAAATTTTTCCAGATTTTAGTTTTGGCTCTGAACTTCAGCACAAGAGCAGATGGAAAACATGGTTGTAACTTTCATGTGACTAGAGTGAGTCACTCCAAGTTAAGCATTCACAATGTAATTAAATAGCTTTTATAAATTGTTTTAAAAGAATGGAAAGGAATTGACATGTTTTATTCTGAATTGGTGAAATTTAACTAGAGGAGATGCAGTGGCTCAGGAAGTATAGTGATGCTTCTGTTGCACAAACAGAGTACTGTGAGCATTGCAGCAAGTTTGGTACTGACATACGTTACCTTTCTTGTTCTGTGGAGGCACTGTAATGTGATTACTCTCCTGCAGGCCATCACAAGTTGTCACTTCTGGTTGCTGTTGGCTTGTATTTGCTGTGGTCCCACACACTGCTGTTTGCAAAGTCACAAGCCGTGTTGTAGTGTCTGGAAATATGTGTCATTCCTGCACGTGAATGGGCTGAGGAGTAAAATTAAGGCTATTGTAACTCTTTCTACCTGGAAAAAAAATATCTGCAAAATATGAGATTATCATTCTGAATACTGAGTAAAACTCTGCTGAGTACTTTATAGCCTGAGTCATGCAAATGACTTAATATTTAGGTAGTATCATTAATTAGTAGAACAGTCATTTCAGTCCGAGGCTCTTTTTAATTTTACATAGCAAGTTATTTAAATCTATCAATTTTCTATGCTGACCTGTTATAAGCCATTCTAGGTTAAAAAAAAAAAAAAAAAAAAAGATTTGCAGGGTGGTAGAAGTGGAGAAAGAGGCATAAAGTGTATTGGAAAACTACCAAATGTCCCCTGCAAATGGACCCTATTCAGAATCAGTAAGCGTATGATGAGTGAAGTGGTTTTGAATATCGCCTTTAGATTCCATGCTGTTACAAGGCCAGCCCCGAACATGGCAACTCTTATTTCCACACACAGTACCTCTTCACTCTCAATTTAACCCAAAAATCTGATGAACCCATTACTCCATACTTGATTTCATGGAACAAGGAGTAGATATAGTTACAAATGATCAATCACAAGCCGTGAACCAAAGCAGCAAGGCATTAACAATTCACACCATTTCGGTCCACTTGCTCAAGCAGAAGATGTGCCAGCATATTTAATGCACAGCTACTTCGTTCAGTTCAAGAAAAGACATGACTCATGCTCATTTTAGGAACTGAGGAGACTTCATAGTTTTTCATGCCTACTAACCACCGAGTGTTAGAGTTTGCACTTCTAAACAATTAATATAACCAGGTGTTCAGTAAAGGTCACAGAGATAGATAAGTTTTAAATTAAATTTTGCTCAGGTTAAAAATAAATGGAAGGACGACTTGGGAAATGGTTCCCACAATAAAGCCAAGTTGTGTTGTACAAATTTGTATTGTACAATCAACATCTTGTTCAGCAGTATTGTAACACTGTAGACCCCACAGGCATATGCCGTCAATTTAATGGGATCACTGAAAAAGCAAAGCAGCTGTGAAAGATTGCTTTAAGTACAGCAATCGTGTGCTTGTCATTCTGTTCAATGGTGGAAAAATCCAAATTCGGATAGGCATCAGTATTTAAGAAAATGACTGCTAAAGCATCTCTCATAAGTACCTTGGGGACAATACAATTTGACATGTAGCATGTAAACAAAAGTACACAGCAGCTGTTAGATTAGTTTTTGTTTGAGTAACAACACAGTGACATAATTTAAACAACATAGGAAAATGTGTGTCCTCCATCATTCACTTTCCCTATATAAACCACAGTTTTGGATCGTACATGCCAGTTGCTCCGGACAAAGAGCTGCGTGGTGTTTGCTAAAAATAAGAAACAGTCAAGTAGAGTGTCTGTTAGGACAGTCTCATGCCCTCTGTGTCATACATATACAGTGTACAGTACATGTTGAAAGTACCTTCAGGAAAAGCCTCATCTGAGGAAGTGTAAATAGAAGTTCTAGTATTTTGTTCATATTGGAAGATTTTTTATTTTTTTTTTTCACCCATAGTGGAAAAAATGTTAATGATTTATTTCCTGTTATTCTGATACTGTTATTTAGTAAAGAAAAAAAAACACCTCAAACTTTTAATATTTTGTAATTATTTGATAAGAGAAATTGCAGTAGGAAAGAACTCAGAATAATACTAATGTTTATGGTCCAAGAATGTCATGAGTTTAAGAAGAAAGTTAACAAACTGGATTTTGAAGGATTTGTTTTTGTTTTCTTGCGGTACTCTTGTGATGATTGCAGATTGCCAGAGGGTGATTTTCCCATTCCTTTACAAATGTTCTGCTTATTTTTTTGTGGATATCCTACTGGGCTTTGTATTTCATGCTTTCTGTCACTCCATTTGATCAACACTGTGCTCAGATCATTTTCAGCAAGTTTAAAGACAAGATAAAAAAAAAAAAGACAGATTTTTTTTCTTCAGTTTGCCACAGTGGCTTCATGCTATTATCTCTATCAATTTAAAATCTCTGGGTTTTGTTTTAGGGAAAATTTCTCATCTCTGTTCTTCAGAGGAGTGTAAAATTACACTGTAAAATAATTATTTTCTTCAAGGAAATTCAATGTTTGCCATGTGATATGAAGTCAAAAAATCAATGAGGGGGAGAATAAAAGCAATAAAGGTCTATTTACGCTGTTTATGTTAGCTGAGGAGCAAAGATCCTTGGGTACTCTCCTTTTATCCATGGCTGACTACAAATATTTTAAATTCTGCATTAAAATTATAAAGAAAAGGGATTTTTGTCTATAATTTTAAATATTTTCCATAACTTCTGATTACCTTCCTTTGCTCAGCTTCTCTTGAAGGGAAGTTTCCTTCATTTCTGATCAAGGATGGATTTGCCATCACTCCCTCTCAGGAATTCCATGAGTACCTCACAATAAAATCTCTAACCTCCTGAGACACATACATCATGAGGAGTTGTTCCTAAACCTTACTAGTTAGCTCACACTCTTTGTTTCCAAGGGTTAGTCTTTGCCTTCTTTTGCTATGGTCAACACACTGTTATTGACCTTCATAATCCTGCTTCATAGTTCAACGTTCGTAATGTTTGATTAGCTGTAATTTTGAATGGACTATGCAATGCTTGACAACAGAATTGCAAATCTTTGGGAGACTTTGATTATAAATTCTTTTCACTTTGCTTTCTAGACCGTAGTCTGTATAAAGCCTCAATATCAAAGCACTCTAGTGGAGTTGGGAGATATTTTCTGGAGTCATTACTGATACTCTTTTAGTTTTCAAAAAGATATTAGTTCAGACTAATACCTTTTTCGTTTTAGTTAAGTCAGCAAAACGGACAGAAGTCTGGAAGTACTTAGCTGTTCCTTAAAAATTATTCTTGCATACCTACATCAATTCCAAATGAGAACAACTTAAACATTCCTAAACTAGGAATAATTTTTGAGCAACCATGAATTTTTTTATCTAGAGTGCTAAGGATATCTTCTGGAATCCCCAAATGGATACCCAGAGCAATAAATTTAATAGACTGTTTCTGTAAAAGTATACTTTTCTGAAATTACTGCCTTGGTGTTCTACCTTTATTCCTTTCCCTTTCTAGGGACACATGGTTTCTTACTTCATAAGCTTAATAACTTAAATATCACTGATTTCTAGAATTTTAAAAAGGATGTCAGAAGAATGGGCAAAAAAAGAAACAATACAAGCTGTTTGAGATTATAAATCTGGAAACAAAAGGTTAAGTGTGGAATGAAGCAAATACTGTTATGGGTAAGATCAGCTGATGTTTATGGAAACTGTTACTGCTTATAGAAGATTACTTGGGTCTGATAATCAGTGTGACTGACTAATTTGCATGTTAGGCATGTCTGAAAGAGGTGACGCTTTGGATCTTTTCAGTTCTGAGCTATCCCAACAGGTCCTGGAACTGTTTCCTCTCTGGACCTGAAGGTCACTACCTTCAGAGAAGGTGCACCAGCATGGCTGCATTACATTGGTGTTAAAATTATTTGTAGTAAAATAATTGATGCTATTATAATTAGCGTTCAAATGTCGCATCCAATCCCAATATTCATACAGTTTCCCTCAGCTGTGTTTCTGTCTGCTTGCACACTCAGAAAAGATCCACTGTTTGTGTTTATCTTCATTTCTGTTTATAATCGTTTTCTTATGGGAACTAAGTTAAAAGCACTTGAGTAAAAATCTTATTCAATGAAGTTATTTGTAAAACTTACAGACTTCACTGAGATTAGATTTTCATCCTTTTCTTTTGTTTGAACTAACCACTTCTCATCATGTAACATGAAACATAGATTTAATTCTGGTGTTGCTCACTTGGTCCTGAAGTAAATTCACTCCTGCCAGTGTTCCTGGTCAGACCTCATTCATGATCTCATCTAATCTTTTTAATTTTATGTATGACTCCAATGTTAAGGAGTAAGTGCATTATTAGAATTGTCTGGAAAAGTATTAATTCACTGATTGTCACCCTGAAATAATTTTTGCTCATGTTCAATTGCATGGCCATATCCTGACAAATCAGGTTTTAAATGCAAATATTTAATGCTATATAGTATGCATTCTGGCTTGGAGTCTTTGATGGCGTATTTTGAAAAAGTTTTGCAGTATTACTTTTTAGGATAATCAGTAAGTGTAGGATAATACGCATATTAACCTTGTCAAGTGAATCCCCATCAGCCTTATTTTGTCTGGCCTGCATTTAGATAAATGAGCGTGGCCAGAGAAGGGCAACGGAGCTGGGGCAGGGTCTGGAGCACAGGTCTGCTGGGGAGCGGCTGGGGGAACTGGGGGGTTCAGTCTGGAGAAGAGGAGGCTGAGGGGAGACCTCCTGGCCCTCTGCAACTCCCTGCCAGGAGGGTGCAGAGAGGGGGGATGAGTCTCTGGAGCCAAGGCCCCAGCGCCAGGCCCCGAGGGAATGGCCTCAAGCTGCCCAGGGCAGGGTCAGGCTGGCTCTGAGGAAGGATTTCTGTGCAGAAGGGGCTGTTGGGCGTTGGAATGGGCTGCCCAGGGCAGGGGGGGAGTCCCCGGGATCCCTGGAGGGGTTGAAGAGTAGAGTCGACATAGCGCTGAGGGATCTGGGAGAGTTGGGAACGGTCAGTGTGAGGTTAATGGTTGGACTGGATGATCTTCAAGGTCTTTTCCAGCCTAGATGATTCTGGGATTTTTATCACAACGTTGACTACAGGCAGGGTTTCAGCTTATTTTATTTTTTTAAGTCCCTGCAGAGCATTGAACCCATGCATGTCTTTCTGCATGTCTTCGTACAATGCATCTCTTTCTTCCTATTTGTCATTGATACAAGTTTCTGCATACCATTTTCTACTTCTGTAACAAAGAGAAAGTACACGTGAGACTTACAGACAGTTCTAAATTACATTGAAAGAATCATGTGATAGGTTTTCATTCAAGCGATTACTTAAATGGGTTTTGATAACCGTATAGATAGTCCTTTAGATCTAACCAAAACTTTTTGTAGTGCCTTTATTTAATCTTGTATTTGTGTATTTTTCTGAACTGAGATTGCGGTATTGTAAATATCACAGCAACATCAGACCTTCAATGGGGTTTAAGTAACTAGATTTTAATAGTTTTGTCAACTAGTTCAGAAAAGGCTTTTTATGCTACCCAATATCAGGTAAAACCCCCAAATGCTACTTCAGTTTATCATATAAGAAAGGCCCATGTATGTGTTACACAAAAATATCTGCAAAGCACATGCATCTCAGTAATGCCTGAAGCCAAAATACTCATTCCTTATTTGTCACACGTATTGACGTGAGGTCCCTTTGAGAGAATGGTTCCAACCTTTACAGTGATTTGAAATCTAGGAACAGCAAGAAGAGATCTTGTTGAGACCGTCACCATGAATCAATTTTATCTGTCTTTTCATTTGACCTTCCCTCCTTATTAAACAGCTACACTGAGCATTTTTATTTGTTGGAAGTTGTTTTTTGAGTAGGGGCAATGAGAGGGTTATAATAAAACGGCTTATGAGAGTGTTGATTATATTTTATGAATGTTACCATTTATAATACAGTAGGCATATGTCAGCTCCTCAACAGGAAACTGTATACAGAAACAACATGGATCTTGCAATTTTATCAGGACAATGCAAGTAGATTTCAGCAAGGTTGGTTCCAACTCATCTGTGATAAATGAGAAGATAAGGCAATCAGTGCACACCATGACACTCCGTGCAGCTAGTTAGGCACACTTCAGAACTATTCAGGTGTGCTCACGAAGCTTATGAGTCTTTCATGGGGGGTGTCTCAATATAAATACGTCCCTCATGGTGGCCACTAGAAATACAGGAGTTGCTTTTCCAAGACTTAACCCAGGTCAGATATAAATAATAGATATTAAGAGTTAGTTCTGATGCTAAGGCTGTGTTAGAGGCTGTGAATTTCAGTTGGGTCAAAAGAATACATTTTCCTTTTTTTCCTTTTTCTTCTTTTCTTTGCATAGCTCCTCTGCTTGACAGATGCCTGCAAAATTCCATCACACCTTTGTGTGGACCTGTTTGGGTCTTTAAGAGAGAAGGTTTCAGCCCCTCAGGAGCAAAGATTTATATCCAAGGAGTTCTATTGGTCCTGCACCAACGATTAAAGTCTGCAAACTGTTGCAAACAGGTGAGTTGTCCCACTCTTTTAAAAAAGTCTGCTTTTTGTTTTCATTTTCAAATGTACTAATTGTATAAAACCAAGGATTGGCACTGTGTCATAAAGAAGTGTGACATATATTGCACAAGCTGCAGTGCCTGTTAGGAAAATGAAATGCTTCTCCTATAATTGCAAAGCCAACAATAAAGGAGTTAATTGTGCCTCTCTTTTGGTGTGGGATGTCATATGTCTCATCTTTTCTTGCTGCGTACTGTGCCTAGCTGTGATGTTCCTTATGTGAAAATTCTCTAAAGCCATCATTTTTCATTGCTTGTTCTGCACATGCAGGTTTTTAATGCTTTCATAGATCTTCACATAAAACTAATTTAAATAATTATTTAGTTGAAACATTTTTGAATAAATAAATAAATAAAGCACTTCTAACTAGTGTTGCATTGTGAAAAATTAAATAAATATATAGTCTTTTAAAACCTCAATATTTTAATTACTGTACATGTGCCATTAAATAAATATACCAGACATGCATTTTAATTTGAAAAAATAGTAGAAAGCAGATACTGAATATACTGTTTGATAGCTTGGGAGCAAGAAGATGATTTATTTTTTTATAAATTGGGTGTTTTATTTTAGGAGATATAATTACGTAAACACTGACCTTGTTCAGCATAGTTAGTTAAGTTCATTTGTATGTGCAAGAAGGTACATGTAAGGATTAAGTGAGTAGTTCATAAAAATAGTAGACATCTGGATTTTCCAGGAAAAGTATTATACAGACATTAAACAACCAGCTAGGAACCTCAGATTTAAAACTGAGCTCCGGCCCCAGAGTTAAGAATGACTGCATCAGATAGATAAGCTCCCAGTCTGTAGGAAGGGGGAGGAGAGGTGCAAGCGAAGTGTCAGTCACACTGTTTATACAGCACCTCCTGCTGTCAGATCCATAAAGAGAAATGAGAATTGACTTTGGAAGAGACTGTTCCTGTCCAGAGCTAATAGTGGTCAGCAAGAAGAAATCAAATAAAAACAAAAAACGAAAGAGCATGTGTGAGAGAGAAAGAAGCAGAAACCAAAGAAAAGCTTGTTTCAGAATGTTTCTGAGTCAGTATAGTGAATATTAAAAAGTGAGAAATATCTTTACACTTTCTGTTGATAATTTTTCACTTCATAAATAACGCTGCCTGTCACAAAAGCTACAGAAATGAAATCTGTTACTTTCCAGTGCCTTAACAAAAAAAAAAAAAAAAGTAAAATTCATACAAGTATTTAGCAAGTATAATAATGGTGATGAGTAGAACAAACAATGGAGTTTCTAAAGAAAAATTAATATGCAAGTCATTTATGGACTACTTTTTGCTCTTCTCTGTAAAGAACATATAAAGACATTTCAGTAAATGAACTTATGTTAATCATTCCTCTGGTGATTATCCAGCAGTATTCAGTTGGAAATTGTAAATGACAAGAAAAATATAATAATTTTAATAGATTTGAAATCTCTTCTGAAGACAAATGGTCCTTTATAATGAAAGGCTTGCATATAGACATATGTTCAGTATAACCATGTGGGACATCTTTAACTTTTAAGAGTCCTGATTATGAGGATAAATGTCAGTACAGCTATGACAGTTAATTGTCTACAAAAAAATTAAGATTAAAATATTTTAATAAACATTTCAAACCGGTTTAAGTGCTTAAATGAAAATTTTACAGTAGAAGGATGTTAAATGTTTTGTGCAGTTAATGTGCTGAAAGCTTGTGTTATTTTGAATTATATTACTTCAAAGATAAGATATGACATATAATTCAGTTTAAAGTGTCTCTCCGCTAATTTTTCCAACCACTTTCCAACTGAAGTTGTGTTAATGCTGAACATAAATGAAATCTTTGTAATAACCATAGGTATAACTGTAGGTATAACAATGCCTCTTACTATAATTTTACTATATTTTGCTTATGTTGACCTTTTTTTCTAAATAGCTAAAACAAGTTTGTTTTGTGAAGAGCACATTCTGATATGATACAGATATAAGATTAGGATGCACATTAATAAAGAATCAGGATATTCAATCAAAATACTATCACTTTGTCCTGTTGTGCTAAGGCCTGACAACATAATACTATGATGACTGCATACAGTATTCATACCAACATAACATCTAGCCCTTACTTGACAACGTTAAATATGTTTTCTTGATTTCTATTTTTCTCAGTGTTATTTTGACATTTGAATTATTTGTATTTACTTTGTCTTTTAATTTAAATAAAAAGGGAATGGAAGTTAAAAAAAAAAGAAAATTATTTGATGCATTTTTACTCTGCTAAGACTATAGTCTGTCTGTTGAAATCAGATAGCACATGCAACTAAAAATATGCTAATAATGTGCTCCTCTTAAAATCTGTCTGGACTTCAGTTTAAAATGCAGGTACTGAATGAATACATAGTTTCTGGTCCACACTCTGCACTGGTTGCAGTGTCGTCTTTATAATCACTCTGTTGCTCCTTGCCCCAGAGGAAGAAAACAGTGAGGAGACCATCTCTTTGCCGTAGTCTTTGTATCCTATTAAAAAGGATAATCAGTATTCTTCAAATAGTATTCCTTGAGAATAATATAGGTAAAGTAAAACAGGTTAAACTGAGAGCGTACTTGAACTTTGGGAAGTGGTTTGAACTTTTCTCTAAATAAAGGAGAAAGGAAGGAAATATAAATGTATACACACTATGCTACAAAAACCTTCTAATTTTTTTCATTTAAATTCTTTCTAATTGAAATTACATATCTGTATAATGAGCTATAAGCTTCACTAAAATCTTGACAAAGCTTTCACTAACATTTTGATGCCATGAATTCTGGGACTGTAAAATACAGTTTTCTAACAAAACCCTAAAATTTAAACATCAGTACTGTTAGAATTATTCTCTGCTATTAATATTTCAGATGTTGGCCTTTTGCCTTGCTATTTTAAACATGCTATGTTCGGCTCTGTTGGAATTTCTGAGATTCCCAAATATATCTGAAGGTTAAAATCAGTCATTATCTAGATAATGTACACAATTGGGTGAATGCATGTAAGACATGCATTTTTGTCAAGCTACTATAGTTTCTATTATTTATTTTTTTTTCTAAAAAAAGCATCGCCAAAATGAAATTGCTTTTAAGTGAGATGTAATACATAACAATAGAACTAACATTATATCTGACCGTATGGGATATAGTTAACACTTTCAGAGATGGGGGATGTCCATCTCATTAGCATTCTTCATATGTAGTGGTGCTGTTGGTGGGGGTGTTGAAGTAGGAATGCCATTGTGCTGGGTTCCAGTGTTTGGGGACAAACACTGCTGTGGAGGGAACGTGTGAAAAGGCCATAGTACTGACAGTGAATGAGGAAGGCTGTGCTTTCTGTATGCTTCAAGCAGGGAAGCTGTCATTCACAGGCCTAGCACAGCTAAACAGAGGCCAAAAGAGAAGACTCAAATACCTTTTAAAATGATATTAATGATTTTTAAACATTTTCTTAATTTAGAATTACTCTTTATTCAAACTGTTGATCTGTCCTTTACTAAATAATATAAAATGTAGCTGAACAGGCAAACAGAAGAATATCTTGTCATTGCCACAGTAAAGATTTATTATGGAAAATTTAGATGTATAAATATTTGAGAATCACAAGTTGCTTTAACTATATTTAAATGGTTTTGAGCATGTGTTACTTAAAAGGGTTTAGCAAGATCTTGATAGTTAACAAACATAACCAGTCCTAAGGTGCTCTTCTGTGTGCTTTTATTTTTACTGGAAGTGTGTTATATGTGGGGATGAGGAGACTGAGCTGGGATGAGAAGTGTCAGGAAATTGTGCTGAATGTTCATTAGCTTGATCTAGCAGAACTTACAGTAACAGTAATTAATCATTTGAACCACAGCAAATTACATTACATTAAAGTAATGGAGCTAGTATGCAAAATACCCACAAGAAAACAAGAGGGAGTAAAATTATTGACTGATTCTACTATTTGCCATTTCAGCTGTGCGAACACAAGCATATGTCCTATTTCAAAATTGTATATCCAACAGCTATTATTCTAAGCTACATCCATAAACGTCATAATTCATAAGATTTTTCTCATTTTGCTATGCGAATCCATAAAAATATTACTGACTTTAAAAAACCAGAAATATTGCAAGTAACAGAACAAAGAAAAAGAAAGATTATATATCTTCTATTTTCTTGTGTTGTGCTCTTGAAGCTGCTGACTCAAGTACTGGAGGTTGAATACATCTGTGATACGCAAACAAAAGCTGTTCTCCATAATTTTTCTCTTTTTTCTACTTTATTAGAAATATATCTGTCACTACTATTCAATTGGTTTTCACAGATTTCAGCAACTGAATTTTGTAGGAAGATTTATGATGACTCTGGTTTTGTTTTTTCCCCTTACAAACAAAATATAAACTAGCTTTTAGGTATAATCATATTGCGGGGCTTTTATCTGACAGAAATGAACAAAATGATCAATTTTTATCAAGTATTTTTTAATCAATATGTTTTTCCTATCATTTTTATATCCATCTTAGTTCATAGAATTGTGAGAAAATGATACCAAAGCATACTTACCCTGTTTATAATGCTGCTTTCAGAAAATTAGATAATATTGTGGTAAAGTTGGCATAATAATTATTAGGATTTGTTTGAAGAAAAGGAATAAATTCGCCAAAATGCTTAACTTTGATTTCCAGTTCAACCCTACCTTGTATTTGTGTATTTATGAGTTTTGAAGGTGTATTCTTAAAGTAACTTGATTAACACAGCCTCTGTTCAGTAACTCCCCTTCATTTAGACTTAAATATTTATTTCCTCTTCCTTGAAGCTTCTGCTTTTCTAATTTTATATGACGTTGACTCACACTGTTGAAGAGGTGTTAAGTATATTTATTTCCTTCTTTAAGATTTTTTTTTTTTTTTTTTTTTGTCTGTTTGACCTGTGGAGGGACCACTCAAGAAATAATCCCATGTT